AAGGGGGGAGGGGGGGGGAATATGTCAAGCGGAGAGGATAGATGGCGACAGAAAAAAAAAATGCTGAGGTTTTGCGAGACGGGTCACTCAGTACGGGAGTCGCGAGACTCTCAGAACAAAGACACACACCCGGGCCGGACCAGACCACGGCTCGCCCCCGGCGACCACGGCCCGTGTATCTTTCGGCTGGCTGCCTTGGGGGGGGGGGGGGGTGTTGGATGCTGATGCATGCATAGGACAGGTGTGTGTGTGGGTGGTCGTTTTCCTCCCTGAGCGTCTCAAGACCACTTTGCTCTGGGAAATCTGCGGATGAAGCCCGTAAGCTGTCCATCGCTCAACGGGCAAGGCGCACTGGGGGTGAAGGCGACCTGGTGACGCTGAGCGCCATCCTCGAGTTCGGCCAAGGCTCGAATAAATGAAAATTTGCTTTCACTAGCGAAAACCACGAGCATATAGGTATCTGCTTCTCATCAGTTGTAATTAAGTGATGAGTGTCTGCTAGTAAGAAATAAGTATGCACACTAATGAAACTCAATACGCTGCACGGTTTATTGCAAATTTTTGGTAAAAGATATTTAGAATGGTAGACCTTGTTCCCATCAACTACTAAGATTGTCCACACGGGACCGTTGGCCCAATGGCAAGGCGTTTGACTTCGATTGTTTAACCCCATAACTTCTCACATCAAAAGATTGCAGGTTCGACCCCTGCACGGTCCTCAAAATAATATTTTTTTGCTTTTTCTTGCCATAGGGCCAGCGGCCTTGTACCCTGTGATTCATGTACCTAGGGCGATGTGGCGACGTATAAGTTGTATAGAAAAATCCCAGGCGCCGAAGAAATCCCGATTGGTGCTGCGGTAGTGAACAGTAGGACGGACGCTCTGTGCTCTGCCCTGTAGTAGCGAGTTTCCTGGGCGACGGCAAAAAGCTATTATTCAATACGTAAAGGCTGATAAGAGGCTCGGACAGAATTATAAATCTAAAACCCGTATGGAGTATTAACCAAGCTCCCCTTTTTATGTCTTAGCCTGGCCTCTCGCTCCGAGATTCATATGCCCGCCCATCGGCTCCCTGTAAGCAATTGACCTTTAGCATACAACACCCTCTGCCGAACAAAAAAAAAGCAGACGAAAAAAGAAAAAAGGCGAGAAGAAGAAGAGGAAGAAGAAGAAGAGCTGCATCGCGAGTCCGGGGTCTAGCGTTTTGGCGATATCGCTGATCCCTTGAATTTACTGCCGGGCGATCAGCCGGGGAGCAGTTGACGAGCTTCAAATGGGTTCACTCGCGACTTGTGCGTCAGAATCCCATCTATCATGTTAGTTAGCGTGACGGAGTCGATAAAAATCCGCATCATAGACATCCTGACACAGAGACTTCGTAGGGCTAAAAGTGTAGCAATCCACGTCGCTTGCTGCAGTTCTGCTGGACCCTTTAGCGAGAGACACGTCTTGGGCCACAGCAGGCCATGTCTGCACTGACCTTGAAGCGTACTGTAGCGATGACGGGAGGAGTTCGGGCGGGTATCTTTTTCTTCCCGAATCGCACTCCCGGTGGTGGAGATGCCAGGTGGCAGGTAGCAGTTGGCAGGATGATCTTCGTGAAATGGGAGTCTTAACTGCTTGCTGATCTTTGTCTCCATGTTTTTTCTTCTCTCTTCAGTTTCCTCCCCTCCTTACTGTACTAACTGATAATAATAGGTATTGTAGTACCGGTAGTTCCTAGTGTACTGTACAGTGCAGTAGTAATCCCATCCGCCCTCCCAGCCACCTGGTTCAGGAGCAAGAGCCCCACCCTCTCTAAACCCAAAGCAGCGCTAGGTTCCTACTTTAGCCCCGAAGGAATCGAGACCCGGGCCCCACTCACTGGCGACGGGATGCAGGAGCCAGGATCGTGCAGATAGTCAATGTCCACATCCAATCACGAGAGCTGTCACATTCTGGGCGGAAGGAGACAAGAAGATGTGATGTAATGAGACGGGCTCCCTATTGGATGTGGATGTCGATGTGGATGTAAATGCGGGGTGTGAGATGTCAACAAACGGGCGGGTGGACCGTTGGGTCGCAAAGATCTGCCGGCGCAGAAGTTACTACGTAGGTGTAAGCTGGGAAGTCAAGCAGATGGTTGTGGTGATAACACCCTTCCTGGTACAGTACTGTACGAGTAGAGGGCAAACGGGTCAATAGGGAAAGGGGTGTTGGTGTTGGTGGGAGGAGAGTCAGTAGTCGTAGTAGTCGTAGTCGTACTACATTGACATGATAGATGTATGGCAATAATCGAGACACGAACCTGGTTCTGATTTGTGTACAGGTCATTCTCGTCGTAACAGTAACCAGGTCCGTGTTCCGCGCTCGTTCCCTACTAACTTACTGTACTTCCTTAATAAGTATCAACCCTCGCGATTGGGTGGGGTCGGTTCGAGAAGGGAAACTCTCTTGGGACGCGTGGGCTTGGAGAAACCCCAAATCCTCCTCTTCCTCTTCCTCGTCGTCGTCGTCGTCGTCACCCCCAACTCAACACCACATCAGCCTCGCTATCAAAGGCACCTGCACCTCTCCTCTCACTTTTACTGATCCTTTTTGGGGGAAGGAGGGCTTCTACGTTGGCTTCTACTTCGACCCCCGGTCATCCGCTCACTTCCCTCGCCTTCGTTTCTTTCGAGAGTCATTAACACAACACCAGAAAGTCTCACTGGATCATACGATATAAAACCCCCAAACCACTACGCAGCGCACAGCACATCGCGCCATACCACCTACCGCCCCTTCGTCTCAAATACCCGCATCAGACGGCAAGCAACCCAAGAAGAAGCCTCGCACCAAAGATCGACAGCGCGTCGACTGCACCGCCGCGCCCATCCCGTCGAGCAAGGTTGTTCCGGCCACGCAGCAGCCGCGAGACAGGCACCAACCCGGCCACTCACCGTCTCAATTCCCCCACGCCGGCGCTGAGATCTGATATTAAAAAAAAAAATCCCGGAAAGTGATAACTGGGCGGAGCGCACCATGGAGGAGGGTGTCGGCGCCGCGTGTCGTCGAGCGCGCCCGCTGCCTCGACCAGAAAGTTGCGCAAGCAACACCACCAGAATGACGCCCAGCTCGAGCAACAGCTCGTCCGCGCATCTGCCGCAGCGAGTCCAGGACCTCTCTGCGCGAGGCGTTTCGGGGAGTTTGCTGCAAGATCGACTGAGGGAGCGGAAGGTCGAGAGCGCGAGGCAGTCGAGCATGAGGCGGAGGAGCGTAGATCACAGCGCGGAGAGGGGTGTGCAGAGCTCGCCGACGAAGGGCAAGGAAGATCGCAGACCGAGTTCGAGTGGGATTGCGCCGGGGAAGGGGATGGGGATGGGGATCAAACAGGCCGAAGAGGTAGGTTTGCTGTGCTATTGATGAGCGGCTGGCTAACACGGAGCAGCAAGCATCGATGCTGCACAAACAGAATTTCGATCTCAAGCTCGAGCTATACCACCGCAGACAGCGGCAGGAGTTGTTGGAGGCCAAGGTCGAGGAGTTGGAGAAGCGGGAAGAGCAGCTGGACGAGCTGAGAGAGATCAACGACGAGTTATTGGCGGAGCTACAGAGGAGGGATCAGGCTGTCGAGGAGGCGGTGGAGATGATCTTCAACCTGGAGCAGAAGGTCAACCGTCTGATGGAAGAGCGCGAGAATGTCAAGGCGTTCGATGCGGATTACGAGCCAGGCTACTACCCATCCGGACAGGACTTTTCGAGCTCGCCACCACAACTCGACAAGGAGAACTTGGCACCACCGAAAAAGATCTCGAGGATGCCGTCATTCTTGTCCGAGACGACCGAAGGAAACGAGGCTTTGAGGAGCCTCTACCTGCCATTCAACGGACACAGCGAATCGACACTCCCACGATTGGCAGAGGAAGGGAGCCCAGGCGCATTGGACAGCCCCAGACTAAGCGTGTTAAGCGAAAGCTCGTTCGTTAGCGTGTATGGCAACAAACGAGTGCCGGAAATATCACTTGACAACGAAGAGAAACCTCAACAACATCACAGGGTTTCCTCGTCGGTAGAAAAATGGGTGGAAGCAGGATCGATTCCCACGGTCACACCTGCGCGAGCAGCGCCAGCGAGTCTCCGCAAGAGCCAGTTCTTGTCCATCAACGACGTTCTTGAATCGCCGCTACAGCGCCTGGAAAAGTTGAAGAACAGCCTAGACAAGACGCAAGCCGCGGCCCGAGACCTTGCTTCGAGGGATCACAGGAAGGCGAAGGAGATGCGCCAGCTATTTACCGACCAGACCAGTTTCCAGCGTCAACATGCCCTTCCTCCTACTCCGGATACGATCAGCACCAACACATTACGGAACCTGCGCGGCTCAAACGATACTCTGCACCAGAACCATGCTATGGACGCCTTCCCCAATCGTGCTAACCAAGCTCTCCAGTCCCAGATGTCCATCCGGCCCCGAAGCGCGGGCGAGACAGTGACGAGCCGACGCGAGGGGCACGGCTGGGACACACCACAGGAAGACGATACTGAAGCAGGCAGCGTGTGCAGCACTCTCAGCGCATATTCCGCATCCGCATCCTACCTCCGTCGTCAGCATACCGTCGTCCCAGATCTCTTCACGTTCAGCAGTGGGGACTGGGGATGTGACTATCGCGAGCCGGCCCTGCCCTCGCACACAGTGTCCCGCTACACGTCTCTACGCCGCTCAAGCATGATCGATCACCCCCGGAGCGACGACACGGTGATGAGCTACAATTCAAACCGCTACGACGACTCCGTCCAATATGGCACCACCCCTTTCGATACAAATTATCAACCAGAACTTCCCAACCGCCGCTCGAGTCTCGCCGCCGTGACCAAGGTGCGGAAATTCAAACCCACAGGCCAAGAGCAGGACAGTACGCCCAACGACTCCCCGCCTGTATCCACCCCAAAGAAGTCCCGCATCCCCAATCTCCGCATGTTTGGCCGAGGAGATTCCGCACCGCCTGCTAGCCCCACTAAGGGTTCATTCTCGCCGAGCTTGCCGAAATCGAAGGCACAGCATCAGAATCGGAGCTCGGGGCATTACTCCAACGAGCATCTGGGGCCAAGGGGTTTTCAGGACCAGGAAGAAGCGAGGGCGACGCCGCCACCTATTCAACGATCGAGACCGCCGCAGTCGATGCATTATCGACCGGCGAGTATCAGTGCTGTAGGCCCTCTGGGCGCGAGGCGATTCGGGAGCTACGATGGTGCTTGTGACGAGGTGGTGAAGGGTCACGCGAGGAACGACAGTGCTGGCTTGGCTGGGAGGGTGACTGCGGACCACGTAGCGGCGAATCAAACCGCCGGTGCTGGAGAGGTGGAGGGGAAGACGAAGAGATGGTTTGGATTGGGGGTTGGTCGCAACAATAGTTTGAAGAGGCACTGATGGGGAGGAGGAAGAAGCCTCACATCCGATCGGGAGAGGGTGCTCCTTTTCCTGTCTGTTGGAGTTGACGGCCCGCGCCGCGCTTTACCTTTCTGCAGCAAGGAAGGAAGTTTAGGTGGAAGACTGCATCTGCATTCCGGTTTGCGTTTGTCACCTGATTGCTGGATCCTCGGCCCGAAAAAAGGAAGCAGGCAGGGCGGCGAGCCCGGCTGCTGGATCAACACACGGGCGTTTGTTTTCTTTTCGTTCCGAGGAAGCGAGCGGTGCTTTGGTTAGGTCTCGCCCTGTAGCTGTACGATAGGATAGGATAGGATAGGATAAAAGGGACGCACGAGAAAAGCACCATAATACACAGATGCGCGCGAGCGCTCGCTCGATGCGGTGGTGGGGTGTACAATAGGAGGACTGGGGGCAAGCGAGCGAGACGATGGGATAGGATAGCCTCGCTGGACAGGATACCTACCACTGGGCAGAGCAGGGACAAGATGGGAAGATAGGATACATAGCTAGGTAGTGATTGATTAGAGGGCGGCAGAATTAGAATGACAAGGACTTATCAATGTCGATACGTGTTTGGCTCTGAAAAGGCGTTCATATTTTGTACTGAAAAAAGCCCACTCCAATTTGGAACCACTGTCTTTTTTTTTAAGCTTGCTTAGATTAGTAGTATGTAGGCAAGCAAGTAAATTCGGTTTGACTTTTCTAATTAGTAATATAGTATGTATGTATGTATGTATCATATTAATCTACACTTTTTTTTTGATCTCTTTTCTTTACTTTTTATTCTGACCAATCTCTTCCTATTCTCGTCTTGGTATGTTCTTTCTTAAAGAATAATCGTTTTATTTTGTTTTTACGGGCGGACGGCAAGAAAGTCGGATGCGAAACTCTCGAAGCGTTTGAGAATCTAAATATTTGTTTGACAACTCTTAAATTTGCGAATTGGAGATCTGAATCGCAATCGAAGATTATCTATCTACTTATAATGCGAGGTGATCCGCACATCCTCCATCGATTGGTCCGTGCACTCGAGCGCCCCTCTCTGTTGAGCCCCAGCAAGGCCCGCTTGCTTCAACCCCGCGGTCGGCGCCGACCATTTCTAAATTTCCCAGCTACAAATATAAACCATAACCACAACCACAACCACAACCACAACCTCACCCTCTTTCCCCGCCCTCAATTGCCCTCCCAGCTCCCAACCGCAAACATGGCTCCTCCTTCTTCTCCCTTCCCAACCAAGAAATGCGGTACGTCAATCAATCCTCCTCCTCCCCTCCACCCCGCCATCCCATCCCTCACCAAACAGCAAATTCTAACAGGAAGAACCCGCAACAGGCGTCCTAGGCTGCACTGGCTCCGTCGGTCAGCGGTTCATCCTCCTGCTGGCGCAACACCCACACTTCGTGCTGCACGCCGTCGGCGCCTCGTCGCGTTCGGCCGGCAAGAGGTACAAGGATGCCGTGAGGTGGAAGCAGGCGTCGCCGATGGGACGGCAGGTCGAGGAGCTGATCGTGAAGGAGTGTAAGGCGAGCGAGTTTGCGGACTGTGATGTGGTGTTTAGTGGCCTGGATGCGGACGTGGCGGGGGATATTGGTGTGTCTCTTTTTCCCTTTTTATCTTTTCTCTGTGCGGAATTGTTGGAAAATTGGGATTGGGGTTGGAACTGATATTGGAATTGGAACGGCAATCCGGCTAACCAAACTCCCACAGAAATGGAATTCCTTAAAGCCGAGCTCGCCGTCTTCTCCAACGCAAAGAACTACCGCCGCGACCCTCTCGTCCCCCTCGTCGTGCCCACCGTCAACCTCCCCCACTTCGATGTCATCCCCCACCAGCGCGCACACTACGGGCTCAAGAAGGGCTTCCTGGTCTGCAACTCCAACTGCGCCGTCATTGGCATTGTGATCCCGTTTGCCGCCATACAAAAAGAATTCGGGCCCGTAGATCAAGTCAGCGTCGTCACCATGCAGGCCGTCTCCGGCGCCGGATACCCCGGTGTGAGCAGCATGGACATCCTGGATAATGTAGTTCCCTTCATATCAGGGGAAGAGGACAAGCTGGAGACGGAGGCGCAGAAGATCCTGGGGAGGGTGAATGCAGAGGTTACGGGGTTCAACGATCAGTCGGACCTCAAGATCTCCGCGGCGTGCAACAGAGTCGCTGTGCTCGACGGCCACATGGCGTGTGTGTCCCTGCGGTTCAAGAATCGAGACGCGCCCAGACCGACGGCGGAGCAGGTCAAGAAGGCGCTGAGCGGGTATGTGAGCGAGGCGACGACGCTGGGCTGTCCGTCCGCGCCTGAGCCGGCGATAGCGGTCATGGAGGAGCCGGATAGGCCGCAGCCGCGCCTGGATCGCAATACGCAGAATGGCTATACGGTTAGCGTGGGGAGGGTCAGGGAGGATGATAGCGGGATCTTTGATCTGAAGTTTGTGGCGTTGAGTCACAACAGTGAGTATCTTGCTTCTGTACGAGTTTTTTTCGAGATATGCTGATGCAGATTAGCGGTTATTGGTGCTGCGGGGTCGTCGATATTGAATGCTGAAGCTGCAGTGCTGAAGGGTTACATATGATTACTGATCAAGGATTTGAGGGTGAGGTAGAGGACGAGGCTATACCATCCCTCGAGAGCTACGAAGGCGATGATTTTATGCCTTGTCACCAAATGAATCTATCAGAAATAGGATCTAATCCTTGGTCGTCACGCTCTGGGTCTTTTTCCAGCTTAGTGATGATATGAATCATTCACAAGCCACTTTTTCGGCTCGAGGCTTGAAGAGGGGTGCAATGAAATACGTAATCTGAGATGTATTGTTACATCAATCGCGACGAAGGGTTTTCCGACTCGCTTGAAGGGAAAAGGGGCAGCTCGCTTAACATCGAGAGCTGAAAAGAGAAAAGAAAGAGCCAGCAGCACTTGCACAGCACATCGCAATACCGGTGCCGCCAGATTCAGCCGGCGAAAGCGAGTATAATTTGCTCATCTATACCCAAAAGAGGATGTACCTACCCCAGTAGTAGTTGTATATGCAGAAATGCAAGAAACCCCTGCCCCAGATCCAGAACACGCCTACAAACTCATCTCCAGCTTCATCACCTCCGCCACCCCGTCCTTGATCGCATTGACCTCGACCGCGTCCAGCCTCTTCAGCGGCCGTCTCGGGTGCCCGCCGTAGCCGTAGTACGACTGGATAGCGCTCTTGGTGCCCGCGATCGCGGCCTTGGTCAGCACCCAATCGCCCTTGCTCAGCACCTTCTGCATGGCGAAGGCCTCGTCCTGCCGGCCCTCGGTATACAGATTCCAGATCTTGACACACGTCTTGGGCATGACGTTCGCGCCGCCGGCGATGATGCCGCTACCGCCGGACACGAGCGTCTGGGCCGTGAAGTCGCACATGCCACCGAAGGCCATGTAGCCGCTGCCCAGGGCGAAGGGGGTGCGGGCGTCGGTGGCGAGCGCCACGCGCGTCAGCTTGCCCGTGTTGCCGCAGGTGAACTTGGTGCCGACGATGTTCGGGTGGGCGGCCAGGCGGATCAGCAGGTCCGAGTCCATGTCGATGCCGGCGACGGCGCCGGGGTAGTTGTACAGCACGAGCGGCAGGGGGCTGGCGGCGGCGACGTCGAGGAAGTAGCGCTCGACGGCCGGCTCGTCCATCAGGCCACGGAAGTAGGACGGGGGGAGCAGCAGCACGTAGTCGGCGCCGGCGGCCTGCGAGGCGGCGATGAGGGCCAGCGTGCCCCGGACGGAGCCCTCGGATGCACCGACGATGATGGGGACGGAGGGGAAGCCGGCGGCGTCGAGGGCGTGGCGCGTGCTGGATGTGACGAGGGTGCGCTCGGCTGGGGAGAGGTGCACGGCTTCGCCGTTGGAGCCCATGGTGACCAGGCCGACGAGGCCGGCGGTCGCGAGCCGGACGGCGTGGCGCTCTATGGAAGGGATGTCGAGGTCTTCGGTGACGGGGTCGAAGAAGGTCATTGTTGGGGCGTAGATGCCGGGGAGGAGAGGGCGGGGGGTCGAGGGGACCGAGGCAGAGGGGGTGATGCCATTGCTGGTTGTGCTTGTGGTTGTGGTCGCGGTGCCGTTTGTGCTGGAGGGGGACATGGTGAAGATGGATGGTTTGGGGTTGGGTTGGTTTATTTTGTTTTGGAGGGGTATTCGCTTGTTCCAGAGACGCGAGCAAGGACTTGCTATGAAGAGGGACGGTAGTACGATACCGTGTAACAAAGCAGAAGAAGCTGAATCAATCAACAGACAAACATGCGATGCCAGAAGAAAGTAGCAGTAGTAGTAGTAGTAATTCAGCAAAAAGACGCCCGCACTTACTACGGACTCAACAGGGAATAACAGCCTACATGTAAGATACAATATGCAACAAACACACTGCAACCCCTCTCCACTCGACCGGACCCCCAGCACATTCTTTCTCATCGTGGCTAATGAACTATCTCGGATCCCCGAGCCTCCAATACCGTCCAGCTGGGCCAGAGGTGGGGGAGGGGGCCACCCGTGTGGCATTGCTTATTCATCCCTCCACATCACTCGTCAGCAACTATCCCGAGTATCTATCTATACCGTACTTGTCTGTCTTTGGTCTGCAAGCCTCCCTTCCCTTCCTTCTGTTGCTCTCTGTAGAACTCGAATGATTGAGATACAATTGCTTTCAGACGTCTTTCTCGAAAAGGGAATCAATCAATCAATCAATCAATCCATCAATCAATCAGTCATTCTTTCATTCGTTCCCCGTATAGAAAAGAAGGGTTGTTTGTGTCCCGAGGCGTGAGTTGGAATACGGAGTCAATATACTACCTTTCTGAGCTGAGTCGGTTAGATCACGCTACTTACAGGCTATCGGCTCGCTGCAATTATATTCCACCAATGGACGGTCAGCAGCTGATCGGTCCTGGGGTGAGGGGTGTAGTTGAGACGACTGCCTATACTGTGTAGCCTGATTACCCCTCTCTAGGGTAAATGGATGGATGGATGGATGGATGGATGGATGGTTAACTGAAAGCCGGGAGTGGACAGGAAAGGGATTTATAAATTAGATGCGATGATATGAAGAGCTTGGTAAAATGCCGACTTTTTTTGTACGTGTAGTACTCAAGGTATGGTATGGTTTTCGAAAACCCATCGGAGATCTTTCCGCCGTAGAATCCCATGTTTTGATTCCATGGCTCGCTTAGACTTGCCGAGGCTCAAGCGAGTCGGCGACATCGGTTCCAGCTCATCTTGATAGGTACCTCCTAAGCAGATATCTTTCTAAGCAACTCTACACCCATCCTCCATCTGACTCTTCTCGACTTCGCGATATTTTCCTTCTTCAGCCCCATCCAGCCCGCTTCCAGAGGCTCAGTCCCACAATTACTATTTTGCTATTTTATTATTTTGCTATTTTACTATTGGCGCGCATATCCCAGGTCGTAGCTGCACCTCGGCTCCACAGCCTGGCCCCGCGGCCAGCAATCGCGACATCGTGATTCGTGAGGCAATGGCCGATACGACCTCGCGGGGTAAAGAAGCTTTTGCTTGGACTATGTGACGATCCGGTAGAGTAGGTACCCCCTACGACCAGATACCAGGTTAAGAGGAAGGGTCCCGTGGATAAATAATTGACTTGGGATGAGGGAGAGCTGCGAGTCCAGATTTCTTCCATCTACGCTCATTGATCGAGTCAATCAAATTGTACGGACGGACTGGTAGAAGGTGATCAGAGGGACGGACTATCAAATCAATCATCAATCGCTTGCCACGTCCGTAGAGCGAGAATCCGGTACTTACACAGTCTACATAGTGGGCGGGACACCAAACTACATAAGTAAGAGACGAGGACCCGGTCTGCTACTTAGGTATTTGCTATGACACCCTCCGCCGTAGAAATCCCACCCGTCACCATGGATAAGAGCTTCAAACCGAACATCGGTGTCTACACCAACCCGGCGCATGAGCTGTGGGTGGCAGAGGCCGAGCCCAGTCTGGAGAGTGTGCAGAAGGGGGATACGCTGAAGGAGGGGGAGGTGACGGTGGGGATCAAGAGTACGGGAATTTGCGGGTATGTTTGTTCCTCTATCGGCGGAGCGCCTCTCAGGATCTAGGTCGTCAGGACAGTCACAGTCAGTATAGCTAACATGTAGCTATCTGCACACAGCTCAGATGTCCATTTCTGGCACGCAGGTTGCATCGGGCCCATGATAGTTACAGGCACACACAGTAAGCAACTCCCTCGTCTCTTCTCGCTCAGCTCGACGATTTCTCGCCCACGGCCGATACCTAACGCCTCTCCCCTTCAGTCCTCGGCCACGAATCCGCCGGCGTGATCCTCTCTGTCCACCCCTCCGTCACACACCTCAAAGTCGGCGACCGCGTCGCCATCGAACCGAACGTAATCTGCAACACCTGCGAGCCATGCCTCACAGGCCGCTACAACGGCTGCGAACAAGTCCAGTTCCTCTCTACACCCCCCGTCCCGGGCCTCTTGCGCCGCTACGTCAACCACCCAGCGATATGGTGCCACAAGATCGGGGACATGAGCTTCGAAGACGGCGCGTGCCTCGAGCCCCTGAGCGTCAGTCTAGCCGCGATGCAGCGCAGTGGCGTGAAGCTGGGAGACCCGGTCTTGATCTGCGGAGCAGGGCCCATCGGGCTGATTACGTTGCTGTGCTGTCACGCGGCGGGCGCGACGCCCATTGTGATTACGGATATCGACGAAGGGAGACTGGAATTCGCAAAGTCCATGGTGCCCTCCGTCACGACCTTCAAAGTCACCCGCCAATCCGCCGAGGCCTCAGCGGCCGCCATCGTCTCCGCCTTCGGCGGCATCGAGCCAGCCGTCGCGCTGGAATGCACCGGTGTCGAGAGCTCCATTGCCGCAGCCATCTGGGCTGTGAAGTTCGGCGGGAAGGTGTTTGTTATCGGGGTCGGAAAGAATGAGATGAGCATCCCGTTCATGAGGCTCAGTGTCAGGGAGGTGGATCTCCAATTCCAGTACCGGTACTGCAATACGTGGCCCAGGGCGATCCGGTTGGTGCAGAGTGGCGTTATTGATATGAAGAAGCTGGTCACACACCGCTTCGAGCTGGAGGATGCTATCAAGGCGTTCGAGACGGCGGCCGACCCGGGAACCGGTGCTATTAAGGTGCAAATCAAGAGTGGAGACTAGAGCGGTCGGGTCATAGATATGGATGGTTTTCGTCTTAGATGAATGATACTTTTTTGCATAGGCCCGAGTTCTGCTGTGTTTATTTACATGGAAGCGAGATTCACTGAATGTTGTTTAGCGAGAATGCCCCTATCTTCTATGCGCAGCCAAGTCCAAGATATCCCTCAGGTCCAGCTTCGCCCATGCCCCCATCTGCACCTCTCCGTGCCCAGATTCCTTAGGTATCCTCATCGCCCCTGCAATCATATACTGCGAGCCCAGAGCAGATAGCTCCATTTTGACATCCGTCACCTGCTTCTCTTTGAAGGCGATCCGGAAGTCCTTTACCGTTTCTCCTTCTTTCAGATCCCCTTCGGTCTCGCTTGGGTTCCCAGGCTCAGGAGCTCGCACCCCCAGAATCTCAAGCTGCTTCAACCAAGGCGCCGCCAAAGCCTCTCCCGTCATCTTGACATACGCTTCCCTCAAGCACCAGAACGCATAGAACCTTCTCACTTTCGCCCTCACGACATCCTCTCCTTTGAGCACCACATCTCTCCCTCCCCCTTCCACCCCTTCAACCCTGATGCTAACCTCCTGATCCCGTCTCTGACACCTCGCAATCTTGTCCCTTGCAAACCCACCGATCTCTACTCCCTCCTCTGTTCCAATCTCGGTAGCAGAAGAAGGGAGGAGAGTGGATAAAGGCAAGGAACCTAACCTCATCTCGCTCAACTCACTCTCAGAAAAAACCTCAGCGTGCATATCGATCCACCTAAACAGTCCCTCACGGTCAATATATTCACAGTCTATCTTCTCTCTCTCGCCGACACAGACTATATCCGTGCCTACCTCTCTCTCCCCCTCGAACCCAACTGCGCCAATGAGGGAGACGAGGCCGGCTTGGTGGGAGACATTAAAATCCAATCGCCGTTCCGGGCACGAGGATTGGTAGAAAGGTTTTCCGTTCGTCTCCTGAGATATAATTGAGTCTGCCCAGGGAAGAGAAGGGGAGAACAGGGTGACGAAGTAGTGTTTGAGAAGGTGGGAAGCGAGTTTGGTCTTGGCGTCGCGGATGTGGTAGTACCGGAGGACGGAACTTTGCTCGGACTCCGACAAGAGTGAGAGCTCTTCTGATGCCTGGAGAGGGGCTTGAGCATGTTTTGCCGTGGTGGACGGGAGAGGGTGAACTTACGATGGTCTTGAGGTGGGAGACTTCGTCTCGGGCATTCGCTTGTTTGGGGACGGGCCAGAGGGGGCGGGTGTCGATGAACCACTGGATGATTCTGGGCGTGGAAGAGCGTGGGCAGGAGGTAGTAGCCATTTTGAACGGTTATGAACTTTTATTTGAGACGTTCCGGCCCTGGATATCACATTTTGGGCTGTAATGAAGCGAGTGGTGGTCCTGGAGATAAAGTGACCGAAAGCATGGACTCGGTGACCGAATCACTCGGAGGTTCTCTTTATCCAACTCACAGACATACAAATAAATACTCTGCAAAAGACAATCGACCTTAAAAGTTATCTTTACTGAACTTGGGAGAGATGACTTGCAGATGTCGTTGATCTGGGAAAGCTTAATGGGTCTGTACCGGGCCCTCTGCGGCCCAAACTCACTCACCGCCAAATTTATTCTGCCCCAATATTTATAATTTATCGCCAGAGTCGAAGATATTCAACACCACATAGCAATCATGGGCAGAGGCGAGACAAACGCAAAGGCAAGCTTTCCAAGCTATACTAAAGTATTAAATACTGATTGCCTCTAATTAGAAGCGGAAACGCCAATCCGAGGCAAAAGCCAACCCTCTCAATGCTCCTGCGATCCCCTCCTCCACAGCCGAAATCGACACGACCAAACCGACCGCCATCTTCAAGCCCACGTCAGGCAGAGACTGGACCGTCAGCGTCGCATTACCCGGCAGCATAATCGCCAAGTTAAGCTCCTGTGCCAGCTTACAAAAGAACCAATTGCTGACCTCAGCAAAGTGCCCAAACCCACGACCAGCGCACCTCCCTCGCCGGCCACATCGCCCGCGCCCTCGCCGTCTTTTGCATAGATGAAATAGCCATCTTCTCCGACGGCCACGGCCTCAACAAGTCCAACAAGCGCCATCACAACCGTACCCACTCGTTCGCGCATCAGGCCGACCCAGCGCAGGACGAGTACACAGGAACCTCAGACCCCGACCATTTCCTCGTCCACCTCCTCAGCTACCTCGAAACGCCCCCGCATCTGCGCAAACACTTGTTCCCGCTACACGGTAATCTGAGGACGGCGGGGACACTGTCAAGTCTGGATCTGCCGCACCATTTGCGGAGCGATGAGTGGTGTCCGTATCGAGAGGGCGTGACGCTGCCGGGAGCTGATGAGCATGGCACGTATGTGGAAGCTGGGCTGAGGATCCCGGTTACGGTCAAGGAGCAGATTCCGGAGAAGACGAGGGTTACGTTGAAGTTTTCTGAGGGCGCGGAGGCGGCGAATAAGGATCTGAATGCACCTACGATTGATGCGGAACCTGTGAATCCTAATGATCCCCGCGAGGAAGCGGGATATTATTGGGGATTTAATGTTAGGAAAGCCGGGAGTCTGAGTGATGTTTTCACAGAGTGCCCGTATGAAGGGGGATACGACGTTACGATTGGATTGTCTGAGAGAGGAATTGATGTTGAGAAGCTGTATTCTGGGAGTGAGGGGCAGAAATTGGGGAAGTTCAAACACTTGCTCATTGTACTGGGGGGAGTAGCGGGGCTGGAAGTCGCAGTGAAGAATGATAAGGAGTTGCAAAAGTTGGGGGTGATGAAGGCGGAAGATGTATTTGATCGCTGGGTCAATGTTTGTCCGAATCAAGGAAGCAGGACGATTAGGACGGAAGAGGCTGTTTGGATAGGGTTGATGGGATTGAGGCGGTTGGTGGTTGGGAATAGTGATGCCTGAAGATGGTCAGCGAGCCGGAAAGAAGGCTTTGGCTAGAAGTGAAGGTGAGGATCAGCTAGCTAATCAAAGCTGGTTTGACTGCCACCGAGTAGAGGGAGAAGCAAGCTCATGAGCTATACTAGCTCGAGTCTGATCATCAAAGATGGTTCTATCCGTGGCAGGTAAAGTCAACAACAACGGTCGTCTAATTCTTGGCCCCTGAATCGCTCGCATTGAGAATGACGGAATGCATTACCCGGTCAAATCGGTTTTACCAGGAAAATCAGGTCGATCGTTCCTATTCTCAATGCTAAACCACCCATTTATCTAGTTGTAATTAATCCAGAAACGTCAGTGCTTTCTCTTTTTTCTTTCTCTTCTTCTTTCTTCCTCTAGATCCCGAAATAGCCGGCGCATCCAAGTTTGGGCTGAGCCGCCACATCACAACCACGCCAATCGCTGCGCCTGAATTCCGCATTCCTCCCCCACAACCACAGCTGGATCTTGACCTCGATTTCTGTCCCAAGCAAACATTCGTCTCTGTGCAACTTGACTGTCTTAGAGCTCCGGCGACGACAAGGGCTCCAAGCCCCAAGGCCTGTCCGAGATCACAAAGTTACCTCTACTCACTCCCTCGGAACCCTCGTGGGACGACCATCGAGCAACGACAATCGAACGATCACTATGGCTCTGCTCAACATCTCGCCCTTTTGGGCAGTCGCTCTCGCGATTGTTCACTCAAGTATGGATATGGGAGTTGAAGCGCACGGCGACGTGTCGCATATTGCGGAGGGAGAGAGTACTTCAAAGGAACCGATTGTAGGTTTCCCTTAGGAGTAGCGGACTCGAAGGTCCAAACCACAGAAGACAAGCAGGGACATGGAGAACAATAGCAGTTTGGAGGAGCTGCATCATAGATGGAGAGGAGCAGCGCTGATAGCTGGCACAGGACACAATACTATGGATTCACATCCTCCTGATGATGCTCTCCTTCGGCATCGTCTTCCCTACCGGCATGGTGTTAGGGGTACGTTTTCCCTCCTCCCTCCAAAACCACCCTTACTGACAAAGCACTAGATAACCCGCAACAAATGGCATGTCCCCGTCCAAGTTCTCGGCACTGCTATCGCCGTCCCGGCATACTTCCTCGGCCACCTCCACGGAGGCAGAGCTTTTTCGGAAAACATCCACGCTTCTTTCGCCAACTGTCTCATGCTGATGCTCATCGTGCAAATCGTCTTCGGCATCTACCTAAAGTTTCATATCACAAAAGGGTTCCATGGCAAGATCAGAAAGGTCGCCGTCTATGGCCACGGGATTGTTGGCAAGGCGATGCCGGTAGCGGCGTGGGTGCAAATGCTGTTTGGCGGTATCACGGCCCTGGGATATTGCAGAGACGATCACATGGGCCAGTGTCTGGCGCATTTTATCATGGGAAGTGCGTTTATTGGATATGGTGTTGTCTTGACAATTATCATGCTCGTCGGACAAGCGTGGCTGAAACGGACTGGACGCTCTCAGGAGTTCTTCGACAGCGCCTTGATTGCGGCGTGGGGATGCGTGAATACGTTTACGGAGCATAGATGGGGAAGTCCTTGGGCGGGAAACGATATTCAGCATACGACTATGGGTGTTATCTGGTGGTGCGCCGGCCTCACTGGTATCTGGATGAGTAGGAAGAGAGATGGAAGCCCGAAAAGGAATTTTGTCCCCGGATTCGTCATCTTCATTACCGGCTGGGCGATGAGCGCGCATTCGCAGCACTTGCCTTTGAGTTCTATGGTCCACACAGTCTTTGGTTACACGTTGATGGCTGCCGGTCTCGCCAGAATCATCGAGATCTGTTTCGTGCTACGCGACAGAGCCAACATTGGTGGCCATGATGGCGACGTAAACAGTTGGCAATACATGGCGCCTTTTGTAAGACCCCCCTCCCTCTCAATTTGTATTAGGCTAACCTCCACAGCTCCTATATGCATCCGGCTTCATCTTCATGGGCGCCACGGAAGAGCAAATGCAACTCATCTCCGACGCAGGCATCACTCACGTCTCCTACATCCTAGTCCTCTACTCCTTTGCTTTCCTGGTGTTCCTCTTCACCAACATGCTCCTGCATCTTTATGCCATCAATTCTTCTCCTCCCGTGCCCCCAAAGGACGACGAGCGTGCGCCAAGGTTACCACGAGTGAACGGTGGCCATGCGCCAAGTGATAGCAGACAGATTCGCGATGCTGAGGAATTCGAGCTGGAGGGCTTAATAAGTGATGGCGAGGATCCGGAGAGTCCGAGTACGGTGGGGAGGAACAATGAGACCAGGGTATAGCTGGGTGGAGGTGAACAGCTTGTCACTACTTTGTGTATCTTTATGTTAGTTTAGCGGTGTATGCATATAGGTATTGGAGTTCAAAGGAGTTGCTGTCTATATAAACTGGGCCAGCATCATAAGCAAGCACGCAGCGTCTTGGATAGATATTCAATTTCAGCAATCTTATTCTTTTACGTAGAAGAGTGCCGGATATGCTAAATTCGTAATCCTTGATCTGATTCTTGATTGGTTTTGAGCTCACTGAGCGTTTGAGATTTAATAACTGTTTTTCTCGACTTTCCCTTCACAAATAAATGGTAATGAAGGGTAAAGAGCCCATTTAGTGTGGTATGCCTATTATCTTTGGCGCTTATTAAGCCGTTGCTGAAGCCCACTTTTTGCGATCGTTTTCGGTGCCTGGGATGCGTAGACATCCATCTCTAACTGAGGATGTAATAGCACACAAGAAGCTATGATCTTCCAGCAATCTATTAAATACTGACCAAAGTTGGAAGTTTTAACCTACATGAGAAATTTAATGACGCAAAGTCTGGCGGACAGAAAAAAGTGACTCTACATATTTATTCTGCCGGCCGCCCTCACCGCCCAGGACGTATTATCAATTCTTCCATTTCCGCCCTCGTAGGATTAACCTCCTTCCCCATTGCCGGCCCACCACAAGCTCTCTCCTCTACGAACCCGCCGCATCCGTCACTTGCGGATACTTACCCTCTCAATATGTCAATGACAATGTCTAGGACCGTTGTGCGCAGCGCAGCCAAGCTGCCCCTGCGCCGAGCTCCCGCCCGGTTCGAATCCACAGCCAGCAAGGCCACCGAAGCTGCAAAGGACACGGCAGCAAAGGCATCAGATACCGCTGCACAGTACAAGATTAAGGCATCAGAAGGTCTCTCGCGTGTGTCATCTGCGGCTGGCCCGGCTATCTCTGGTGCGGCCCAGAAGCTGTCGGGTGCGTTGGGTAAGATTGGTGGACGTACCGGACGGCTTATTGCGTTTGTTGAGCGTGAGTAATTGTCTCTGGCGACTTGCGGAGCTACGAGGGATTTTCTGAGGTTCAATGGCTGATTTTGATGGCAGGACAAATCCCCCCTACGATTTACTATGCGCGAGTTGGAATGGAACTCGGAAAACTTGTGTTCAAGGGACAGAAGATGACTCCTCCGTACGTTCGATCGGAAGCTCAGATGAGGTACGAAATGCTAACAGACGACAGACCCGTTTCTACGTTCCAAGCCTACTTCCAGCGTCTCGTCAAGTCTGCACGAAACCCGGATTCCCTTTTCTCTTCCAAGAGCGCCACTGGCGAAACAATCAGCCTCCTCACCCGCGTTCGCAACATGTCCAGCGCGCAGTACGCTGCTGGAGCTGTTGTCACCGCCGAGGTATTGGGATTCTTCACCGTTGGCGAGATTATCGGAAGGGGAAAGATTGTCGGGTACCGAGGCGATACCGGTTCCCACCACTGAGCGATGAATGACATGATGGGACTGGAAATATAGGGGAAGAGGGCAGCGAAATCTGCATTCAGCCGAGTGCGTGGATGTGGGTATGAATACGACCTGCGTTTTACACGTATTCTGCGATACTTTTTCTTTGTCTGTACATCACATCAATACGCAGGCAGCCTAATAGAATGTTCGAGTATGTGTTGGAAGAGAGGGACTGGGAAATTGATTGCTTTTCGAAACCTCCGGCTCGAGTGAGCCACAAAGGGCTTGGGTTATGTGTCGATATCACGATTGTTCGATCAAGTGTTCATTGAGCGTTGAGTGCTGACAGACAACAAATTTCCAGAGAGAATCAGCTTAGAAACTCGCACAGCTAGATCCCAGCGACACGAGGAAGCCGAGCTGATACGCAATTCGTATCACGTGTCTCGGAGACTGAACGCGCGGACCGCGACTACTTACTCGAACTCCCAACAACTATCCAGCTCTGTGCCACGATACCCAGATTCTGCAAAACATGCACCGATGGCGATTCTCTTCCTCCCCACCTCCCTTCGCCATGCCACCATAGCCTTTTCACCCTGCGGGACCCAATCCCTCCACCGCCGTTTCTCAACCTCTCCCCGCACCATATCCCCTTCACGTACCTACAATGGCGCATTGAAGCTCCTTGACTCTCTGCAGTCCAATCGTGCGGTCACAACATCGATATCGAGCTCGAGTGCTCCTGGCCATATGGACAAGATCGCAATCCCCGAGATGCTTGAATGGATACGCAAAGCGGGGTACTCGGTCGAAGATCTAGCAGCTCGCGGACTACGCGGTATACACATCGCGGGCACCAAAGGCAAGGGAAGCGTTTCTGTCATGGTTGAGAATATACTGCTGCAATACTGGCGTTCTGGCACCGTCAACGATACCGGAAAAGCAATGGGCAGGGTCGGGCTGTATACATCACCGCATCTGATACACGTTCGGGAACGGATACGGATTGACGGCTTGCCGATTTCAGAAGTGTTGTTTAAGCACTACTTCTATGAACTCTGGGATCGCTTTTCTGGTGCCGCGGGTGTTGGGAATGTGGGAGAGATGCCGGGGTACTTTCGGTATTTGACGATTATGGCTTTCCATGTCTTCATGCAGGAGGGTGTGGAAAGTGCGGTGATCGAATGCGGGATTGGAGGGGAATATGATAGTACGAACATCTTGCCTGCGGAAGCTGTGACGGCAAGTGGGATTACGAGTCTGGGGATCGACCATAAGGGGATGCTGGGGGAGACTATCGGGGAGATTGCGTGGCACAAGGGGGGCATTATGAGGAAGGGTGTGCCGGCTTTCACGGTGCCGCAAGATCCTGCTGCCATGTTAATCTTGGAAGAGAGGGCCTTTGAGAAAGAGACGGGGTTGACGGTTGTGGAGCGGTTGCCGGCTTTGAAAAACGATGAAGTGAAGCTGGGGCTGGAAGGAGACTTTCAAAAGGATAACGCGAGTTTGGCTATAGCTCTCGCATCCTCTCATCTCCGGACTCTAGGAATCGCTAAAGATACATCGACAGATCTTCCAGAACCCTTTATAGCTGGCCTCGAAACTGTCTCCTGGCCCGCCCGCTGCCAATACATCCCAGACGGGAATACGGAATGGTTCGTAGACGGGGCACACACTACTGAATCCTTAACCGCAACAGCCCAATGGTTTCGCTCCCGCCTTACCCTCGCCAGCGCCTCTCCAAACCCTCCCACAGCAACAATGCTGATCTTCAACCAAGCAGACCGGGACGCGACAGCGTTACTCAAGGATCTGATGACCGCGCTGCAGGATCAAGCCCTCCAACAGACGGACGTGGAAGAGCGGCGGCGTCTGGCTCCGCAGCGGTGCAAATTCACCTATGCGGCGTTCTGCACGAATAAGGTGCGGAAGACTAAGACGGAGCAGGATCTGACGGTGCAGAAGGATTTGGCGAACGTGTTCACGATGTTGGATGGGAATCAGTTATGCGGGGTGTACGGGAGCGTGGATGAAGCTGTGCATCTGGCGTATAAAGTCAGTAAGAGGGAGGGGGAGAGGGTATTGGTGCTTGTCACGGGGAGTTTGCACCTAGCGGGTGGTGTGCTGAAAGTGCTCGAGAGGAAGATGGAGGCGAGGGGGAAGCTCATGGGAAAGAAGGTGGAGAAGCCGACGGGAAAGAACATGGGGGAAAGAACAGGGGAGAAGACGGGTATGAAGACTGAGAAGAAGCGAGAGAAGACAGGAAAGAAACTGACCGGAAGGCCGACGGAGAAACTTAGAGGAAATAAAAGAGGCAAAACAGAGAGAAACGTCCGGAATGCTAAATGAGAGGGATAGTAATAGTGGCTTTTATGAGACCCGGTATGATTGACATACACATCATGCGATTGAATCCGTGTTTCGATGCTGTGTTTCCACCTCTCCGTTTATTCTTCACAACCGCGCGTGCCAGATCAAAAGGATTACCGGCCGTCCCGTCGACAGAGAAAGTATACAGCCGCGTATTATATTTTTATTTTTTCATTCTGATGGTAGAAATATAATGGTCATGTACCACTCGGGCTCTGCTCGGGTTCGGCTTGGTCATTCTCAGAGTGTATGTGTGTGTGTACGTAGGTGTGTTATAGACGAAGGAGTGGTATTTATGTGTGTATGTATGTATGTATTGCTTTATTTATATCTGTATGTAAATCAACGTAGTTCTCCTTTGCTGTTTGGATGAATGCTATATAACAAATCATGACATATCATACGCTGGAAAGCGAAAGGATACGCAGAGCGATTGTGATATTTCAAGACATTAGCGAAACGTTATGCGCATATGTAATTGGTTGGGTTATTTTCTGTGAGTGATGCGTCGATCGGTATTTGAGAATATGGTTGTCCCGATTTCACTACATGTACGCATCTACGTGTATTATGCGACTCTTGTTCGCATTTGGTGTCCAATGGGCATATGAATGATAAAGATGTATAGATCTATCTACATCTATCTAGATAGGTGGGTAGGATTTGAATATGGTGAGATGAGAGTGGCAAGGAACTGGACGAGGCGCGAGAGGAGATGTATAATCAAGCTTCAAGACTCCGTAAGCTTACACCTAAGATGCTGTGGTGAGAAGGAGAAGAGGAAGGAAGGCTTGCGTATATATGTGTTTTTGATTGGTCTATCTTTCTGTGCATTTGTCAAGCAGTCCGTCTGTCTGATTGATTGACTGACTGAGTTTATTCTTGATCGAGATGCAATGCTGATGATGATTCTTCTTATTATTATCTTCTGCTGATCCGGATTACCATCTAGACCACCAACCCCCCCCCCTTCCCGCTACTCCCGAGTCCCAAGCGCCCGCTCTCTTCGATGCAGGCCCTGTGGCAGCCATCCAATAGGTACCCCGACCGGCATAGCGCCCGGATGCACAGGGCCATTCGGCCGCTGTGATAGGGTGCTGGGAGCCTGTGAGTGGCTGGTCGCAAGCGCCGACACTCTGCGGTCGGCGTGAGCAGCTGCATATTCACCCACCACAGAGTCGATCTGGTGGGATGGGATGCGATGCGAATGGATTGCAGGAGGAACAAAAAGGGCGAGGGGCCGTCTGCTTCTTGGGCCGGAACCCCAGCCCTTTTCTATTATCAATCACCCTTCTCGGACAATTACGAAACAACTTTGGATTATTGCTCGCGATTGATCTCAGCATCTCAGGAACGGCGAAGTAGGTATATAGTGCTTGAAGCCCATCTGGACCAGCATCTTGTGTTTCTTGGGCTAGGACCTAGGACCCAGGACTCGGGACCATAGGTCGTTTACGAAGATTCAAAGAGGGGAAGAGAAAACAACGGATCGGATAGGAGAGCGACAAGAATCGCAGAGGAAGAAGGGCGAACACAGCACCACCAGCGAAGATGGCAGCCATCTCGATGCTAGCCGTTGTCGTGGCGGCGATAGCTGCCAACCTCGTACACGCGCATACTGTCATCACGTATCCGGGATGGAGAGGCGACAATCTGATTACGAACGATACCTTTCCCTATGGAATGCAATGGATGTACCCTTGTGAGTCTTGGAGTCTCCTTCTCTCTCCCCCTTGTGTTTGCAGCTGTTGTGGAAAGAAGAGAGAAGCTGGCTGGGCTGGAACGAGATGTTGTCGCAAGCGAAGTCAAAAGGAGAAAACAAGTAAGCGAGTGCTGCTGTATTTCTCCAGATCCCAATATCAAGACCTAATCTCTCAAGTCCGGGTCCAGGACACCAGAACCTGGCTCTCGACATCAAGAAATCTGCTCCAAGCCTTCGGAAATCATAACTCTCTCTCTCCTCTCCATTCCTCTCCTCTTCCACATCCTCACTCTCCCCCTTTCGGCCTTTCGGGACCACATCACATTCCCAGCCACACTCGCCATATCAGAAAACAAGCAACTAACCTCCCCCTCCCCCTCCAGGCGGCGGCATGCGCACAACCACAAACCGGACCCTCTGGCCCACGACGGGTGGCGCCATCGCCCTCCAACCAGGCTGGTTCCAAGGCCACGCCACCGCCTTCCTCTACATCAACCTGGGCTTCGGCACGGACGGGCCGGACCACGGCCCGCCCAACATGTCGTTCCCCATGATGCCCGTATTCCAGATCGTCGGGCCGAGCAAGAACCCGTACCCGGGGACCTTCTGCCTGCCTCAGGTGCCGCTGCCGGCGAACACGACGGTGCAGGTCGGCGACAACGCCACGATCCAGGTCGTGGAGACGGCCATCCACGGTGCGAGTCTGTTTTCGGTGAGTTTCTATCCGTCCGCACATCACGAGCGGCAGAGGGGGGGAGGAGAAGAGACAACGGGAGATTGGAGATGAACACAAACACAGAGAGAGGGGGGGTTGGAGAAATCGAATGAGTGCAAAAGCTAACCCGCAAAATCCGCACGCCCAGTGCGTCGACATCACCTTCGCAGACCCCAAGGACGTCGCCGAAGTCAACGAGACCAACTGCTTCAACAGCTCTGATATTTCCTTCAACAACGTCTACTCCATCCCCGCAGATGGCCAGACCTCGGCCGCCGCCCGGACCACCGCGGTAGCCAATCTGCTACCTCTTGCTGCTGGCTTGATGTTGATGATCTTCGTTCTCCTTTAACGAGTGGTGAAGAGAAGAGAAGAGAGGAGAGGAGAGGAGAGGCAAGGCAAGGCAAGGCAAGGCAAGGCAAGGAAAACCTACCTTGACCTTATCTTGCCTTGTCTGATCTCGTACTTGCTTGCTTGCACACAAACCTTGTGTCATGCATGTTACGCATCTACCAACTGCAAGACTGAAGAGAAAGAAAAAAAAACGAAAAGGGGAAAAAAAAAGAAAAAAAAAAACGTAATTTGAAATTATTCGACCGAAAACCACGCAAGCGAAACGAAACGAAGCAGAACCACAGAGCCCAGAACCAGAGAAACAAGATACCGAAGAGACAGAGCTAGCTGGCTGTAGACGGACGAAAAGTGCCGTCAAGCAATGATGTGGGAAAGGCCAGGACAGGGCGAGGAGAGGAGAGGAGAGGAGAGGAGAGGAGAGGACTGGATCGATACCATTTGATGCGAATTGTATATATTCCTTTGTGCTCGCTTGCTCCCGAGTAGCCCGCCTCCTATGGGATGGGATGATGGGATGTATATTTCATGGTGTTCAGGAGTAGGAGGCCCGCGAGCTCGGGTCGCGCGCTTGGTTGGAATGCCGTTTTTCTTGCCGTCGCTTCAAGAATAGGAGAGGGGGCCGGGCCACTCGGTTAATGAGATGATGAAATAAAACAAAACAAAACATTCGGATCATCATGTTCAATACCGAAGCAAAATGTTGTGATACATCGCTGCGAAACCAATGGTCGTTCATCATTTCTCGTCTCTAGCGTCTAGCGTCCCTTCCATGCTTAGCTACACTGCCGTAGTGCACCCTTACTTCAGTAATTCCCCAATCTCTCGCGCCGCATTCTTAATCCTCGGCTCAGGCGCTTTCTTCACTGCAGCTTCCACCGCCTTCCCGACTTCATACACATTCGCCGCCGCATTCTTGACCTCTCCATCAACGCAGATTACAGTCCCCAACGCCATCAGCGCTCTAAACAGCACCTCTGAATCCTTTTCTTTCGTCAAAATCTTGCCCAAGATCTCCACAATCGCAAGCGCATAGTCAAACGGCGCAGCGTCCTTATCCGCGTTGAATAGGACGGCGTAGTTAACGTAGATGGTTGTGACGGCGATGAGAACGTTCCGGCTGGATGAGGTAGAAGCTTTGACGGCCAAGATTTGGATTTTTTCGAATTGCTGAAGAGCAAGGGCGCGGCCTTCTGGCGAGACGAAGAGGTTTACGCAGCCTCGGAGGGCCATCATTACGTGGTTATCCTCAGATGGAACTTCTTTCATGGCACCAGTCTCGAAGAGGTCGATAATATCGCCACCTTCGGGGGCAGAGTAGGTTGCAGTCTCGGGAAAAGCAGCTAGCGAGCGTAGAAGATCGAGTCCTGGCAATCGGTCTTTGTAAGGCCAAGCCGTTGCAAGCCTGACTGCGAGTTCCAAGCCGCCCTCAACAGACTTCGATTTGACCTTGGCATCTTTCGACCCAAGATTTGTGCACAATTCGGCCAGGACGCGGAGTTCTGAGGGATTCATGGACTTGTCTTTGTGGCCACTGGCAATCAGCTCTTTGTTTAGCTCGACGAGTTTCTTTTGTATCTTGGGGAGGGCGGCGGTGTCGAGGAGAATAGAGATGTATTCCTTATGAGGGAGACTCTTTACTGGCGGGGGAGGGGGCCTGGCTGTAGTTGCATCGTCCGGTCGATATCTGTTATCGCTTCCCCAGGGATCAGGTGCTCCTTGGGCAGGTGCAGCTCCACCAATCGTGTGGCCTTGAGTGTTTGTGATGATGAAGTTGGCAACCTGCTCCAGATACCCAACCGGTGCTTCATTGTCCTGGATGAATTTGGTGGCAGCCTCGTATGGACCTTGAGAGACGTTATAAGGTAATTTTAAAGGTGGCTTGCCATCTTCCATATCAACATCGAACACAAAGTCATACATCTGTCCCTTATACTCGGTCTACAATAATCAGCATTACGGACCAAGGTAGAAATAATCGTACTGACCTTCTGATTGCTACTCCCCACGGCATCTACAACGGTCCCGATCAGATCCCACTCTCCTCGGGAAGCAGACCAGGAGTGAGCTGTGATGCTGCCGTTTGGGTGCTTGATTTGGATAATCTGCCCATCCTTTGTTCCAGACTTCTGAGTCAGAAAGTCAGGTCCTGGTAAGTTCTCGTTTTGTGTTGATGCCATTGTCTGCTGAGGAATAGCCGACGACCTGACTGCTTCCTCAAATTGTGCGGTGGTTTCTGCATCCGCGAATCGCTCTGGAATTCTAGTGAACACCCGGACTATTCTGTCACTTGCGCCCGTCACGATATCTCCGTTCTCCGCACAAACAGCAACACCCCAGACAGAGATCGCGGGATGTGTGATTGTCTGGATGCACTCGTTGCCCTTCCATACCCGCAAGGTTCGATCTTCTCCAGAGCTAACCAGCTCCCCACTGGGCAACGATGCAATAGAGTAGACGAAGCTGTCGTGGCCGCGCAGCTCTCCTACTTGCGTGCCCGAGATAGTCCAGATTCGGATTATGCCTTCATTGTCCGCGGAGGCAAAGTCTCCTCCAGACGGATGTCCTTTGGCAAGTCGGCACAAGGCTCTAATTGGCAAGTTTCCAGCTTGGAATATTTTGACCAGCTTGCCACTTCTGCGAAATATCCGAATCTTCTCGTCTGCGCATGCCGTAACGATGGTATCCGCGTCGTATGCAAGAACAGCCCAGACCGTCCCACCGTGCCCTGTCAGAGTAACTTCACATTCCCACTTCCCAACTGGAAATATCCGCGCATCGTGGTCCCAAGATCCGCTGACGATATAGTTGCTCTCCGGGTCGACGTCCAGGGCGCATACGTCTCTGCTGTGGCCGAGAAGCAAAGCCTCTGCATCGTTCTCCGCAGCCTTAGATGGTGCTCGTACGTCGATCACGACGTCCTTGCCACTTGAGATTATAAGGCCTTCTGGGAATCTGGCGTTGGGGGGGAGAAATGTAACGCAGCCCATCCAGGTGCGGGAGTGGGAGGAGATGGTGGCATCGAAGAGGGGCGGGTTGTCCGAGAGGAGCTTCCATAGGCGGACTGAGCCATCTCGAGATGCTGAAAGTACAGCCTTGGGGGAAGGGAACGAGACGCCGCGGACCTGGAGTTGATGTTAGGAGGTCGCCATGGTGCGCGAGAGTGTGGATCAAGGAGGGTAGGGTAGGGTAGGGTAGGAGGGTTGGGTAGATAGAAAACAGTTCGAAGGGGGATTTACATCGTCCTCATGGCCCATCAAAGTGGCCGATAACTTATACTCCGCCATGTTGGATCAGTAGTATGGGTCGTTGTGGTGGTTTGGAGGGGGTGTTGCGCGAGGAGCTTTCAGGCTGGTTTCCTGGCTGGTAGCAGAGCTGGGACAAAAGAGACTCAAGCTGCGATTCCTCTGGCTTCGAAGCTCCAGACCAATTCACCACTCCAAGAACGTCTTGATTTCGATGGCGATGCAGATGTAGTTGGAGATGAGAGCTCCAAGCGAACGGAAGAGGGGTGGTTTATAGGCAGAAAGTTTGGCGCTTTTGGATTTTGGATTGCTGAAAAGACGAAAGATAACACAAAATACTGTGTCAACTTGTTTTTTCTTTGTTTATTTCAGTTCCCGTATATTGATGTCGTTATCGCACGGCACGCAGAGAGACTTGACTGGCTGGTAGACTGGGTAAGTCAACATAAGTGAACAGGGCACGAGCGAGCGAGGCTACTCCCAAGCAGCTCCACCCCACCTCTCGGAACATCATTTGACCGACTGGGGAACTCCTGAATGACCTGGCCGATGGTGTTCCTGACCCATGTGAACATCAACTCCCTACTCTACAACCAACCCTCTCCCTTCTTCCCATCACCACAAAAAGCCACCCCTCGCAGCGAGAGGATAATCGGAACTTCGAGTGCGCCCTTTGCCCTAGTGTACTTGGCCTTGTTGATGCCGTCGAGGAACGACGAAGAAGACGACGACTTGCTGATGCAGTAACGACCTTTACGACCTCTACGACTCTCCTTCGCCTTATCTTTGAACAGAACACGATCAATCCAAATACAATCCAATCCAATCAATACCAGACAATACCTCCTTTCATCCTCATCCTTTCTGTGCAGATCTGCCAGTCCATCGGGATCGATTCTGTCTCTGTACCATACCATACAATCTCAAACTCGACCGCAATCGCTCTCACGACCTTACGCCCTCTCTTTTGATTCTGATCTGCTATTGTTTTGGCCGACTCGAAACTGTTTCCAGTTCCCGATCGGAACCCCCACCTCCGAAAGCATGGTTCCTCCAAGCCTCGAGCTCACCAAGGCTGTCGTTCCTCTCACTTGCCATGGCCACTCGCGCCCCGTTACCCATCTCAGCTTTTCTGGATTCGTTGGAGACGAGGAATATTATATGATCTCTGCTTGCAAGGGTAGGTGGCTTTGGGACATTACAGTTCTGCTTGGCTGATGGTATCAGATAATAACCCTATGCTTCGAGATGGTTTGACTGGAGATTGGTATGCAGTCTTGCCAAAATGTGTGGTGTGCCACGAAAACTAACATGCTGCAGGATTGGGACTTTCTTTGGACACAAAGGCGCTGTTTACCAAGCCCGTCTGTCCCCTGATGCCAACAATGCAGCTACCGCTTCTGCGGACTTCACTGCGTACGAATACCATCACAACTCTCTGATCTCATACTGACTACTTTCAGTAAGATATGGGACACCTACACCGGCGAAACGCTCTGCACGATTCAACACCACCATATCGTCCGCGCTATCGCATTTCCTCCTGAAAATAGCAACTTGCTCGCCACGGGGGGTATGGAAAAGAAGCTCCGAATTTTTGACCTCTCGACATTCGATGCTATTTCGGCCCCCTCTCTCCCAGCGACCAACGGCACTTTGATCGCCGAAAAGAATGAATCGACACCCGGACGCCAACTCATAAACGCAGATGCAGGCTTCGAGGTCGGTGTTGGTGTTCACCAGGGCACAATCAAGTCTATTGTCTGGACTCGGGACCCAAATGTCCTCGTCACTGCTGCCGACGATAAGGTTATCCGATGGTGGGACTTGCAGACTCGAACTGTTGTTCAGGAGTTAGTCGTTCAAGGTGATGTTGGAACATGCGAATTTACAAACAGTAAGCCAGAACAAGATGACATTGGTGGTGGTCTTCCTGTTCTGTGCATCGCCGCTGGTAAGACTATTTACTTCTACGGAGGAAGTGATGCTAGGACTCTGATCAGGAGTATCAACCTTCCGTACGAAGTCGCTAGCGTTGCGTTGCATCCAGCTCAGCGAAAGTACATTACTGGAGGCGCGAAAGACACGTGGGCAAAGGTTTACACTTGGGATGACCAGGAAATTGGTATGTCTTCGATCCTCCTCAGCGAAACCCACCCCCTGACATCGCCAGATCTACACAAAGGTCACCACGGCCCCATATGGAGCATCAGTTTTTCACCCGATGGCAACCTTTATTCTACCGGTAGCGAAGACGGCACCATTAAGCTATGGAAGAACTGCACCGGCCCATATGGCCTCTGGCGTGCTAATGGTGTCGACTAATTCCTCTGTTGCTCTGATATTCTCTTCATTTCTGGATTGAGATAGCATAATATCGGAGTTCTGGGACTCATGTTCAGTTCGACATCGGAAATTGGGGATACGAGGGTGCATAATGGCATCTTCTAATCGCATGGAATTTTCCAGAGCGCGGTGCATTAGATGGCGAGATTCACATCGGAAATCAGACTATAGTAGTTCATTTTCATCCCGCTTGCATTTCCAATTTCTGTCCTCGTATACTGCTATAGCCTTTGAATTTTATGTCTCTATATCTACTTCTGAGGAGGCAACGCCCAGTGGTCACTGTCGTTTTTGTCACAAGGACCAGAAGCTTCTTGTCTTAAAAGATTCATCTTATTTCATGTCACTTTCTTATTCAACCATATCACTTGAACGGTCTACTGTGGGTCTGTGGTAAAGCTAATACAATCTGGCACCTTGTTCTTCAATGATAGCATTTTGGGGGCGGCAATTCATGCTACAACGCTTGCATTCGGAAAGGGTCGATGATGCTTTTTTATCTTACTTGATCTGCAGCCCATATTTGAATCCAACACGCCATTTCTATCTTCCATCAACCAGCGCTGTTTAAACCAGCAAGGTTTGCATACGTGATTTCTCTGGATCGATCCTTCGGCTGAACTCTCACCATGTGATGCTGAATTCATTCGCTCTCTCAATGCAACAACATCTGACCACAAGATGGAGGCTTCCCTTGGCTATCATAAAAACCACGCCACTAAGTTCACAAGAAACTAAGGTGAAGTATATAGCTACCATGCCCGCTCGCCCTTCCCTCTGAAGCATTCACTTATGAATATCTCTTCACACGTCACAAATCACACATCACACATCACAGCCATGACAACGCCCAACCATACCCTCACGCTGAACAACGGCAAACTCATGCCTCTAGTGGGCCACGGACTCCGGAAAATTCCCAATGAGAAAGTCGCAGATCGCGTCTACAACGCAATCAAAGCCGGCTACTGTCTCTTCGACTCAGCATGTGGTTCGTTATCTCTCTTTTTTTATCACAAAACACACCTAATCTAGCATCAATCCTTAGATTATGGCAACGAGGTCGAATCTGGGCAAGGCATTGCCCGAGCGCTGAAAGAGGGACTCGTGGAGCGAGAAGACCTCTTTATCGTCTCAAAGCTGTGGAATACATTTCATGAGCGAGAGCGCGTTAAGCCGATTTGCAAGAAACAGCTAGAGGACTTCGGATTGGAGTATTTTGACTTGTATCTTATGCACTTCCGTAAACCTTTACCCACAGCACGTCAGTATCCCGTCAAAGTCGGATAGAAAGCAAATATATCCTGAATTGACCACCCAGCCATCGCCCTCCGCTACGTCGAGCCCTCGATGCGCTACCCTCCCGCCTGGTTCCACGACGGCGTAACCCCAACGGACATTCAACTTTCCAGCGCCACGATCCGTGAGACCTGGAAAGCGATGGGAAGGCTCGTCGATCTCGGACTCTGCCGCTCTCTCGGCCTCTCGAACCTCAACTGCGCCTCGATGCTCGACCTCCTCCGGTACGCGCGCATCCGCCCCGCCACTCTGCAGTTAGAGCACCATCCGTACCTCGTGCAGCGGCCACTCGTTGCCTTTGCGCGGGGCGAAGGCATCGCCGTCACGGCGTACTCCAGCTTCGGGCCTCAGGGATACGTGGAGATGGACCTCGCGGCTGCGGTTGAAACACCACACTTATTCCAGCATCCGGTTGTGAAGGCCGTGGCGGAGGCGCATGGCAAGAGTGCGCCGCAGGTGCTGTTGAGGTGGGCGACACAGAGGGGGGTGGCGGTTGTTCCGAAGAGTGACACGTGGGAGATGTTGGTGGAGAATTTGCATGCGGGAGGTTTTGAGTTGTCGGAGGGTGAGATGGGGAGGATCTCCGGGTTGGATCGGAGGTTGAGACTTAATGATCCGTTGGTCGTATGTTATTTGCTCTTTACCTTTGACTCCTAGCTCTTGAAGTGGTGATGCTGATTGACGATGGTATTTCGGATGCCTCCCGATTTTTGATTGAAGAGGTTGGCGATGTTTGGACCAGATGGTAGTGGATCGCGCTCTCTCTGCGAATCGCTTTACATCATGTGTTATTTCCTTATCTCATCGGAATTTTCTGCGCCAGTTGCTTAATCGTGCGTATGTGATGGCCAGTCTGTACCTCGGTCTCGCCCTACCGTTTCTTAAAGCTCATGATAACAACGGTGTGTTTACATTTAAGCGAAATTTCGCTTCGATCCAGTGCAGAACCAGGGGACGTACAAGCCCCCCCCTAATCAATCAGCCTTCGATGCATTTATTTCCATAGGCTCATGCGCACTTTGAATCTTCTTCCTAGAGGACATCCTTCCAATCGGCAGTGTCAATGCTATCTCACCTACGAATTACGGCAACGCGAGCGGCGAAATCCATCCCTCAGGCTACTCGAGCTCCAGGTCACGATCTCTCACTCTACTCACTCTCAATCTCGAGCGCCTGATCTCCAGTAGTCCGACCTCTGATCTAGCAGCGAGCGTTGGTCTTCCGTGGCTAGCGAGCTGCACGATCTAACCGTCGATAGCTGCTCCCTTGAAATCCATCATGAAATGAGGGCCGCGTACCAAATCAACGGTTACGCCGACGACGTCTCAGTTAGCAGCGGATAAGATATCTAACCCTGGTTCTGTGTGGGGGAAAGGGAGGTTTTTAGTTTTTTTAGGTTTTTTTTTGCACGAAGCGATGGGTCACATTTGATCTTGGCGTCGGAACAATCTATCACGAAGATCTTCTCCGCGTCGGTGCCTGTCCCTAGATCGATGTTTGACATGAAACGGAAGACGCGCTGGCGTGCCGGAGAAAATTTCTGCCCATTTTAAAACGATTGGTAATGTGGAGGCCTTTGGTTGCTGTTATCCAAGTCTGTAAATTTGTTGAGTGTCGGTACCAAACCATGAATAACCTGTGAATAAACGTCTCTCGGACACCCCAGCAGCTCCGATCCACGAAGTTTCTTCTGGAATCCGGCTTTTGGGTCAGATTCTCCGTCTAAGGACTCTGCGTAGCCTCATACCCTCTCTACAGGTACTTACTGTGTGAAGATAAGGCATAGGCATCCACGGTCACGTGGTTACACTAGGTAGCCGGCCTTGGCACCACCAGCATATAGCTCTCCCTCAGCTAGGATAGCTGAGCCCCTTCAGACTTCACGAATACACTTAGTACCACCATAATATTCGTACTTCTCACTCGGTACCTGTAATACCGACACTTACTTATCTTCGGAGCCAAACCTCGCGTCCGCAGCGTAAGGCTAGTCAGGGAAACCCCGTCGCCGACTTTGACATCCCCCGTGTGATCATCGCTCAACTTCTCAAACTAGTTGGGAAACTCGAGCCCGACAATAGAAACCTCTCTTTTAAGGTGGGAAGTCACGTTTCCTTTTCCGCTGCATCAAGTCCTTGCGTGCAGCCCAAAGGAAGTGGATTTCGATTCGTGCTTGATGGGTGGAAGAAGTTTGGTTTGGGACAGAGGGGTTGAGGATGAGGTCCTGATATGGAACCTCTGCAATCTTTGAGATCGGCCTCGGTCACTGCAGACAGTAAGCCGTCAGAAGACACTACTGTAACTGCTTGCTCGCATTTCTGGGGATCGGAAAGTTGTGGACCCCGGTTGGAGTTGCCTGGTGGGAACCACTTGCCTGGGAACGCGTATGGTTGCAGCAGTGATACAGCAAAGACTTTGCTTACAGGAGCCAGCAGGAGACGTGTGTGGATTTGGGCATAGCAAAATAGTTGTTGAGAATTGAGGGCCAGGATAAAGGTTGAGATCTGGGTTGGGAACCCTGACGTCAATACCTAGGTAGCGAATAGTGTCTCTTTGGAGCAAATAATGCGGTCTCCTCTCCCCGCTTGAGATGTACAATAAGCACCCCAAGAAAGGCAGAGGGAGCGAACCGACTGACGGCTCGGTTAGCTGTAAATACAATCAAAACAGATGCATTCGTATAGGGGAAATCCATCGGATTTTTCTGGCCAGCGGATCAGCACACTAATAAAACAACCATCTTGCTCACTAAAAGACTCGACCAGCTCGTTTACCACATCTCTATTCCGATCCATCATCGAGCATTACATTGCTTCGGATGACGTGTTCAACAACGGGTTCCGCCAAGGTAGAGAGAAGCCTTACCCGGTCGATATTACAAATGATGCTAAGGCCTTCCAGCTGTGTATCTCAAGCACACAGGCAAAATGCAGCCGCCACAGTCAAGTATCCTCTCGGAGCCGCTCGCAGCGAGTACAGAACCAAACTTCTCATGCCTCCGCGAGTAGACCAAACATCCGTTGAGTCCCAAGACTACAGCATCACAGGGTGGCGGACCGAGCTCCCAGCTGGACCGTACTCCATGTCCACATCCCACTGGCAAAGTGTATCAAGCGTATCGTTTGTACCCCGACATTCAAGGTGGTGCTTCTACTGAAGGTGTCAAGGCCAATACTGATGGGGCGTACCCTCCTCTCAGCGCAGCTCTGGGTGGGGTCCCGAGCCTGGCTATTGGCGTCCCGCCGAGACCATACGGTACTACACCTATTGTGTTTCCTCGTAAGGATCTACCGGTTTTCATACCATGTTGTAGGGAAACGGGGTGAGTGAGTGTTTTCCCACAGGAGGCCAAGCGAGCGTCCTACGGCTTCCAATTTGCTCTCATCCGGTAGTAGAAGTACTCATTCAAGGTATCATACTCACGTTGATGAACATTCGTAACGAGATGTTCAAGCAAACCGACCTTTATCCCGTGACCTTCACGTGATGATGATACTGATAAACCGGGTTAGTATCCCTAGTCATGTGCCAGACTCCGCAGCCTCCAGGCGGCCAGGCCCGTCGTCTCGCCCACCGCACCTACGCGAGCTCCGGCCCCCCGAGATGGAAGGATCCCGCCTCCCAATCTTACCGCGCGGCACGAGATGAGATGGGTAAGACGGGCGGGCGGCCTTCTCCGTGATCCTACCTACTACCGGTACCGGTACCGGTACCTACCTCTTACTGTAAGCACCGAAGCACTAATGCACTGATGATCACTGTTCTACGGAGTATTTGTGTAGCCGGGATGGGATGTTAAGAAGGCATATATATGCTTGATCATAATACGCGCGAGGCGCTAAAGGCTATCTCTGATTGTGTACAGATGGGTACCTAGAGCAAGGAAGAAAGCGAGAGAGAGAGAGAGAGGTACGGGCGGGCCAGTCCAGTCCTCTCAAGAGGAAGAGGAGAAATCTCAAATTGCTAGCTCCTCCTCCATCATAGTGTGCATCCAAGCTTATCAGCAGCCCTTGTTGGGGAGGGTGCAGGCAGTTTTGAGGAAGTAGTCGCGGGCTAGGCTTTCGGAGACGATGCACTGTGTCGCGCGCAGGAGCGTTAGTATGGATCGTGTTGTGATGAAGATGTACGGTACGGTAGATTGATGGGCGGAGAGGAAGAAAGGATGGTAATTACCCTGCTACCATCATCGTTCAACCAGCCGCTCGACATCATATTTTTACAAGCGGTTTTGATATCGTTGCCGCCGTTTCCACACCAGCACGTGAAGAGGTTTTGGGCGCTGGCTACGGAGATGCTGAATCCAAAGTGTGAGTAAAGATGACGGCTTTCTTGAGAGAGCTGTTACGTATGAAAAAGGGGATCGAAGGGAAGGACATACAAGAGCACAGTGGCGACGGCCTTGATGGAAACCATTTTGATAGTGGAAGAAGAAGGGTGTTGGTTTTGGGAGGGTTTTATTGGTATGTGTAGGAGAATGGAGAGGTAGTGAGATGGATGTTTGCTGATGGATGTTGCATTGGGGACGGCATCAAGACTACTTTTATATTCTCTAGTCGGTAAAGTTACAAGTATCAGGCGTCCTTGGATGAGGTTTCAGTTGACACGACATCGTTTTCAAATAAATGGATAGAAACCCTCTTTTGCACACCGAGTCGGTTCCGGAAAGTTGCAAACTCTTAGCAGTGCGTGTATAACCGACGAACAAGGCCAGGCATGCTGGCAGCGACGGAGCCGCAGGCTGGCGAGAGGGCAAGGCTTTAACTTATGGTAATTGACTGGAATCTTGTTTATCTATCTGTGGCCAGGAAAGGGAGACAGAAGGCCAGAAGAAGAGAGAAATAAGGCCCGCACCAGAGAGAATCAAGGCCCGCCGAAGAGCAAAATAAGGAGTCTAATTGTTGCATGGGCAATTTCGGGATACGCCGGGCCCCCATGGACGAAGCCACGAATGAATGAGCGTGGAGCGAATGCACTGACTGTGATCACGTCTACATACAGAGTCGAAGATCGAAGAGAGAGTACCTAGGGTAGGTCGAGTACGGTAGAGTAGAGTAGAGTAGAGTAGAGTAGAGTAGAGTAGAGTAGAGTAGAGTAGAGTAGAGCAGAGTACATCCCATCCGCACGTAGCCTTTGGTTGATGCAAGCTCGTCCGATAGATTGCTGGACAAGGCGCGTCAGATGGCAGTAAATGAACTCGCTAGGGGTACCTCGACTCTACGGAGGACGGGATAATGCGGGAAGATCGATTGATGGATCAGACAGGAAAACCCAGTCGCGCCGGGTAAACCAAGCAAGGGTAGGTAGTGTTGCGAACAGGACAGCAAGGGGAATTAGATAGTAGTAGATACCGTAGAGAGTAGATACGGTACCTAGATGGATGGACGCAGGTACAGGTACAGTTAGTTGACTACAGGACAGTGAGTGTCACCTGGAGCGAGAGCATTAGAAGCACGTCCATAGAATCGAGTCGGCAGACTGGGAATTGGAGATATATTAGGAACAACGTAGATATTCCGCAACGTGATGAGCCGATCCGGATGGTGTTGACCAGCTACCGTACTGTATAGAGTATTTACGTAGTACTACGTACTACGTATTCCAATGCAAGTTCAGGTCCAAATGCAGGTTTGAGTTCGATTCTAATTTGGGACCAACACGAACAATCATGACACATGATACACGCGTGATACGACCCAGCCGAGCCGGGAGCGGAGCCCATTAGGCCGACCACGGACGGGATCTGGATGATGATCCAATGATGATGGGACGGATATACGATCAGACGGAGAGCGAGACAGAGAGGGAAGGGGAGAGAAAAAAGGAACAGAGAAGAGAGCAGAGAGAAGAGAGAAGATCAAAGAACAAAGAAGCCTTATGCACTCGCTCATTCACCAGGTAGTACGTCGTAAGTAGTCCCCTATTCACGACGCTCTGGCCGAAAGGTGAAAATTCAATTCAAAGGAGACTTCCAGGGCGGGGCGGATGAGAGATTAAGCCCAAGCCTGCGCTCCTTGTTGTTGTGACGAGGATCAATCGATCAAGGCGCTCTTTGTATGAAACCAATCCAATGATTCCAATTCAATCCAAACCAATCCAAACCAATCCAATAATCCAATCCAATCCACTCCACTCCACTCCAATCCACTCCACTCCACTCAGAGCCACCGCGAAGCCTCGGACCATATCCCGAAAAAAGAGTCCGTCCCGATACCCGTCCCATCCCCCATCCCCCATCCCATCATCGTCTCTGCCTGCGCCTTGGCCTTAACCTCCGTCCTTGCGTTTGAGCTCCACTCACCCAACCCCCATCGCTGGTCCACCACCAGCACCAGCACCAGCACCTGCACCTGCACCACCTGCACCACCGGCACCACCTGCACCACCGGCACCACCAGCACCACCAGCACCCACTGACACCAATCTCCCCCTCCTGCATTTCCCTGCCACTCTCTTTTCTCGACGGTCATGCAACCGCGATATTCTTCTGACTCCGAACAGCTTCAACCCTTCCACGATAGCTACTCCACCACGCCGCCTTCTCCCGTCGACCAGCCGCGTTTTCCCCCGACCTCTCCGCGGCACTCTCCAGTATTGCCTTCCGCCCACCCCGACAGCTCCTTCGATCGACTGCGAGCCGCCCGACGATTCAGTCGAGAGCGCGGCTACAACCCAAACACCAACCCCAACCCATCGCTGCGAGACTCCTGCCAGTCGGCGAGTGCCACTCGTGAACGATTTTCCCTTTCCGCGCCGCCGCATCGAGACGAGGAGGGCCGGGTCTGGGGGCAAGAGCTGGGCTACTCCAAATCCCAACGCTCGAACATCACCACCGGCGCCGACAGCGTTGGAGAGCCGGCCGCCGGAGGAGTCGCTGGCATCGCAATGGGCATGGCAGGTGGAAACTCGAGCGGGAGCGGCTTGGAGGCCAGGAGAGACATGTCCGGCCACCACGATCCTCGGATGGACATGCACGATGGCCCATCCGGATATGACGGCGTATACGAACACTCACCGTACTATCGACCGCCCCCGCCGCTGGGACATTCGCAATCCTCGCTGACCCCCTTGGGCGCTGCTGCCTTCCCCCCCGGAATCGCTTCTCCCCAGGCCCGCTCCACCATCTCCCGCTCCGACCACAGCATCATTTCGCAACCGTATCTCGATAATCCTAATCCTTACCAACAACGCTTCTCCCGGAATATAGACCCGAGTATGGGGGAAATCGATCCCAGCACCATCGACGACGATGGAGATGATGGGCTGGATTACCGGAACAGATCAAACATCAGCCTCGGGCACGATTCGAGTAGGGCAGCTCCAGCAGTGGGTGGAGCGGCTGCGGCTGCTGGGGTCCTCGGCTCTCTAGGTCTAGGCAAGAAGGGTATGGCGAGTTCAAGCGGCACAGAATACGATGCAGTCAAGAATTCATACGGCGGAGCGAACAACTTCGACCTCGGACAAGGACTGGAGAAGAGCGCGTGGATGGCCAAGGACGCCAAGGCAAAGCAGAAGCGGAGGTGCTGGACGTTGGCCGCCATCATCGTTGTGGTGGGATGCGCGATCATTGGAGGTATCGTGGGCGGCATATTGGGGAATCAAAACAACGGTAGGGGTTCCGGTGAATCAAGTCCCCAACGCAGTGGCGACTCGGCTTCGCAAGACACGGCGAACCACGGGGATTTGAACAAGGACTCTCCCGAGATCCAGAAGCTCTTGGGCAACCCGAATCTTCACATGGTCTTTCCGGGCATCGACTACACGCCAATGAAGTAAGTCACGAGAGAGCCGGCATTTCTTTCCCCCATCCCAGAAAGTGTGCTTCAGTTCCAGGTACCCTACGCAGGCAGTTGCTGACTCGCCTGTCTTCTCCCAGCACGCAGTATCCATACTGTCTGCATGATCCCGCATCTCAGAACAACATCACTCGCGATGTTGCTGTCATGTCTCAACTCACCAACCGGATCCGTCTCTACGGAACCGATTGCAACCAGACGGAAATGGTCGTCCACGCAATCAATCAGTTGGGATTGAACGACTCGATGAAAATCTGGATGGGTGTATGGCAGGACAAGAACGCGACGACCAACGCTCGCCAACTCGCCCAGATGTATGACATTTTTGATAAGGTTGGGTCAGACCCCTTTGTGGGGATCATCGTCGGTAACGAGGTTCTGTATCGCGAGGACTTGACCTTGACCGAACTTCAAACCCTGCTATCCGGCGTCAAGAGCAATCTCACGGCCAAGGGCATCGACCTTCCGCTGTCCAGCTCTGACCTCGGAGACGACTGGACTCAGGGGCTCGCCGACATTGTCGATTACGTAATGGCGAACATCCACCCCTTCTTCGCCGGTGTCAATGCGCAGGTAGCCTCAGGCTGGACATGGGACTTCTGGCAGAATCACAACGTGGTTCTCAAGAACGACACGACGAAACATATCATCTCCGAAACAGGCTGGCCCTCGGCAGGCGGCACCAACTGCGGTGGCGCAACTACGTGCGTGAGTGGTAGCGTGGCGGGCGTCACTGAGATGAACGAATTCATGAGCAACTGGGTCTGCCAGGCCCTGGGGAACGGGACGAACTACTTCTGGTTCTCGGCTTTCGACGAGCCGTGGAAGATCAGTTACAACGAGCCCGGCAAGGAATGGGAGGACAAGTGGGGCTTGATGGACGTCAACCGGAATCTGAAGCCGGGCATCCAGATTCCGGATTGCGGGGGGAGGACCGTCGCGTGATCTTTCGCGCCTTTCTCTTTTCTCCCTTTTTGATGATGGAGAAATTGTTGTATTGGACATAGCATATGGACTAGGGTGGGAGGCCGGGGCCTTGAACACGGTGAAGAAGGCTCTCGCATGCACGCATGATTGGATCGTATTAGACGGAGGGGGTGCAGGAAAGGGTCAAGGGAAGGAAGGTTAGTAGTTCTTCAACTACAAATACAGTAATGACATACAACAAACAGAGAGAGAGAAGTCAAGACCGGCATGGAAGGAAGTCTTACTTGCGGAGTTTTTTTTTATATATATATATATCATTCTTCGTTTTTTTTTTTTTTTTTTTTTTTTTCCTGTATAGAAAAGTATGGGAAAGGATGTCTTTTGTATATCTTGTCATTGTCATTGTCACTGTCATTTGTCTTTTTGTCAATTTTTTCTTTTTCATTCTCATTCCTCTC